GAAACAAAGATGAAGTAAAGCTTTTATAACTAGGATGGTCACAGTCAAATGGCCGATTCTTCGTTGCTTGTCGCACACGGTAGTTCAGTTGAAGCACACACTTTTTAAGGTTTGCTGTGTAAGTGTGATAACCGGTAGCTTTAGCTTTGAAAAATCTTGAACGTTACTCACACATCTTCATTAGGTTGATGACAGAACTTCCAGTCAGAGCTGAATCTACCTTAATCAAGACCAACGGTGAAATTTAACATGCTCAGTCACGGATATCAATTATATTTTGCATTTGCTGCCACATCACAGATTCTTAGCTTGAATGTTTTATGCTATACACCGTTGTCTGGCGGACGGTAGAATAAATGGCTAAACCCCATATTTTCAAAGACTTACTGTTCAGTCTTAAATCTAGGTGCATGGAGTAGTGAACCCCGTCAGATCCCACTAGGGGACAAACGAGCCATTGTGCCCGGCGACAGGAAATCTACCTACCTCCTTAATCGGTCCAACTGAGTGAGTCTCACTAGGTGGTGTAGTGCACATTGTGGTTTCCTAGTTGCTAGGATCTTAACTGCGTGCACATGTACCTGGTGTGTAATTGCCGCGAACCCACCGTACATCTGACACCCTCGGACCTTCATTAAAGTCACAATAAATCAAATATGGTGTTCTGATCTTCAGGGATGAGAGCTTCTATCATAAAGCTGATTGGTGTTAACCAACGCCATGAGTGTGGCTAAAAAAAATAATGCAGTAATTATAACATTAACTTGGACTGTTGGTAATTCATAAATGATCATCCAACTAAGATGTGATCTGGTATATTCATCTGTTTCTTTCCCATTATTTAAAACCTTATGAAGAATTTAGCCAACCATAGTAGTGGTCTGGCGTTTGATCGTCATCCTAACTTATTTTGATTTGTTTTATTCCTCGAGTTGGCAACGATCAGCAAAATTCACCTTTGCAATGAACAATGTGAAAGCAACGGAAGAATCGCAGGTTTGTACAAAGCTACATCTCAGTTCACTGCCAATGTATCTTCTCTGATTATACAATTGCTAGTATGTTCGCGGTGGTCAGAGACGTTCTACTCCTTTCTGTTTTTTTATCGTATCAACGCCACTAGAAAATAACAAAACCATATCGCAGTTAGCAGATCTTTCAGAATTAATTGTTGATATAAAATCATTGGATGATCCTGCAGATGCACACCTGTCTAATATTAGCTAAAAAAGCAGTCAGACGGTAGAGGTTTCCATCTGCGTGGAAACTTTGTTCCATCGTTCGGAAGATCACAACCTGGGTGAATCTCTCCTGATGTGTTTTGGCAACTCAAGCTGAATGGATCCATAACAACTTTCGCACTCCTAGCCTATTTTGTAACTGATCATTCCACTTCCTCCTCCAGGTATACAACCTGACCTGGATCGAGCGACAATTCGCCGCTCGCTTATTTGCCACACCACCCACCGCAACCGTTGAGGAAGCTCAGGAAGCATTCGAGGAGGTAATGTTTTAACTAATGAAGTTGATTTTTCCCTGCTTCTTATCTAATCAGGGTAAGTCGTTGATAAGTGCACAGTTGCGGTGACCGTGCCGCCAATATAGATCATCTGTTTTGGATTTGTAAAACGCTGACCTCTAACAATGCGTATTATTTTTTAGGCCATCTGGTGCCCCAAAGACGGATATGGAATAGAATCATCCAATCCCTTACTGATTCACTCCTCTACGGCTTATGTTTCGCCCAGACTAAATCGGTTTGCACCATATCCGCAACTTAAAACTGTTATCCAGATCCATTTATAAATCTTTTTAGCACTATAGTGACCATGGAACCAGCACGCTTTTTGTTCGGAAACGGATGCCCTTAGTGCTTGCCAGTTGATGGCCTAAGATGAATGACGAGCAGTTTATTTGGACTGAACTAAAAACAATCGCATTGGGTACTGGTAAGAAATGTCGAATCGATCGAGTACAACTGGAAAAGATTCATGAACAGCCGGATCAAGACTGTACCAAGAGTTCGGTTTTTATTGATTTGTACATGCCGATGAGCTCACTGCTTTTGAGCTTTTTTAAATCAGTCATTTGGCGATTTGTGGATACTTTCGCTCTTTACGTGGCTAAATCCTTACGCCATCTACAACGGAACCCTTGCCTGCTATTAACGAAATTCCAAAAATACCGAAGCGGACCGGTCCCCTAACCGTATATTGCACATTCCTACCTGCTAATGTGAACTTGGTAGCGGTCAACTGCACGATGATGAATAACAATTAGGACGTTTCCAAACTCACTCTGCTCCTGTAGTTACATCATCTGGACGGTTGTGGAAAGCATCACGTCACATTCATCAACTTTAGTTTGTAACGCTATGCGCTAAAGAAACCCCTATGTGAACGTTGTGTTGCAAATGGAAGTATCCTTATTCCCTGAATCATCAATTATCAATCGTGACTTGCTGCAACAATGATTTATTTGATATCCCGTTTTCCCTTCAGGTAGAGAAAATACGACCGAATTTTTACGCGGCTAACGCGCTGTACCTGGCCAAATGTTACATTAGCAAATCAGACTATAAGGAAGCCGGCGTCTGGCTTTATCGTGCAAAGAAGCTAACCGAGCAGCCACGTGCACCTCCTCCGCATCTAGACACGCCGTCTGTTACGGCCGAAATAGAATCTCTGATTAGCAAGTATTCTGCATACTTTTAACACTGACTACTAAAAGCGCTTGTACATAAATCACCATCGACAGTGTTTCGAACGATCGTGCTTACAGATTATCTTTATCTTCTACCAATAAATGAATTCGTGCGACACATTTACTCTCCAATTCGCAAGTCATTCGATGGGTGGGAACTTTTTGATGTTGATGCATGGACAACTGAACTTTATGTACAGGCAGTCAGGATGTGATTGTTGTTGAGTAACCGTAGTTAATTGATTTTTTTATAAATTTTCGCTTTCTTTGCTTTTTTCTGAGAAACACCGAACGGTGTATATCGCTTCTGTCCGGGAACATCCTTGGATTTTCTCGGTTTAACCATCAAGTCCACTTTCGGCACAACTTGCAAACCGCAGGTGCGCGCTAATGCAGTTAAATCAAGTTGGTCTACATTGAAGCAGGGCAGACTGGAAGAAGAATAGGCACGCACAATTCCCTTGAATGCCTCTTGAGCAGATAGCGCCAAGAAGTAGTTCGTAGATACAAGCTTTTCTAGGGCCGGTTGCACGTCTGCTAACTTGGATTGTGCCATTTCGTACTCGACGACCTTCACACGAGCCTTCCGCAGGATGGCCAAAAATTCCAGCTCATGAGGTCGGAGTACTAGCAGAGCGTTACCTTCAGAACCAGCACGAGCAGTACGACCAACACGATGAATGTATTCTTTTGCATCATCTGGGGGATCATACTGCAAGATCCAATCAACCTGAAGAGGAAAGGTATATGCCCGATAATCGAAAACAAACCCACAGAAATCAGATTTTAGAATTGCATTGCTGAGTTGTAAATTGAGTGAAGAACTATATAGTGCTACCATTATACAACCGGGCTTATTTAGTATTAAGATGTCTAATGTCCGATGATGTCCAGACCCGGATCAACAAGTAAGGTCAGTTATCAAGTGGGAAACTAATCAGGTGCCAGTAAAATCATATTTAGTAGAATCCGGTTAATCATCATCGTACAGCGAAAAACAGGGAAGCGAACTTCACTGATGGCTACCAAACTCGCAATGCATATGCTTTGGGGTTTGATCGACGGGTATTGCTAGGGTGTCCAGCCACTAAGCAGGAGAACGATTAGGGTTCGCCTTCAGTCCTAACAGGAATCCGGTGACCGCGCTTAAACCATTGGACCACCACGACC